GTGGGCGCGCGGGGGCCGAAGCGCGGCCTTCCCGCGCGAGAGAAAGCCGCTCGGGCCGCATTCCGCGCCCGGGTGTCGAAGCGCAGACTACCGCCGCCGCTACCGCTGCCACCGCACAGTCACTCTGCGCTCATAGAGCGTGCGCACGCAGCAAAAAAGAAGACAAGCGTCGAGCGGTGCCGTAATGCCGCTTCTTCGGGCTCACGTTTCGTTTAGTAACTTACGTCACTACTGTGGACGAAGATACATGAGAAATACCATTAAGTAATCAATCAAATATTAAAATTATACTTGTCCCTCACTAAATACTATATACAACATTTTTTAAATAGCAGATAGGCAAGGAGTTTTGATAAAAGTTGTAAATGTTAATACATCAGAACTCCCAAAATTCTAACTTGTAGATATCTCCATTTTAAAATTTCAATATTTAGAGATGTCAGTTGCAACACTTGCATTTAAAATTTATTTAAACAGGTTGTTTGGTGTGTCAGTTGTTTTGACTCACCCAATGAAGCAAACCTCTGAAACAGTGATAAATCATTTCTATTGGAAAGGTGTATTATTTGGAGGTTTCATTCTGTTTTTCTCGCACAGGCTCTAAATTCACATCTCCTTGAAAACTGTACAGCTTTACTGTGCGTCTATCTTCATGACCGGTTACATCAGCTGGCTTACCGTAATATTTCTGTAGTTCGTTTATTCTTAAAGTTATCAATTTGTCTGGCAGCCGGTGGTTTACTTTCGCCTCTGTAAATGGCGATGGCGAGGAATGTGGACGAGTATATTCATTACAGTAAGGCCTTTCACTCAGCACATCTTAGAGAAACACGCGAATCTCCCCCGGACTCAAATTAGCTTTCCAAACTACTTTACTGTGCTCCCTGGACGGGCAGGAAGATGTGGTCAGAATAATTTGTGTTATGAAATAACAAAGAAGTGTTAGTGGTTTACAGAATGAAGAAAATTTTATGTTTGGGTTAGAACATTTCAAGTCTTCGACCATTGCGCATAGTGTATAGTCAAGACATTTGTTACACAAACTTGGTACTCGAATGTCACGTACTATACGTACCTACATCTACTGTACCTACTGTATTTTTTAAATATAGAGTTGAAATGATATATTGCATCCATCTGTAACTAGAATAGTTCTACAAAATTGATTTTGGTAGTTCAGAACTTTGATTAAACTTTCCATTATTACGAAGCATTGTATTGTGTCAAATGTATCATATTAAAGGAGTATTCCTGATGTAATGTTGTCTTTTACAGACCCTGGAAGGATCTGAATTCCCCACCACTCTAACGCAATTGGACCTGAGCCGCAATGGCCTGGGGATGGTGCCTGGGGGAGTTTTCTCTGGCCTACGGAATCTCCGCTTGCTTGACCTGGGAGTCAATGCCATTCGAACGGTAAGCGAAACTACGGTTTTACACTGATCCAAAATCCAATTGAAGTGAGACGTTTTGCATGTGATTGTGGAATAATACTTATTCTCTAGTTTGAACTTTGAAAGTATTAGACCCTTCAAATCTGCTTTCAGGGGAAACCTTTAATAATACGTATTTTGAAAAATTTGTTCAGTTTATTATTAAACATCACTCTTTCTTTAAATTAAATCGTCCAAGACATTATTCACTCAGACAGGCAAAACTTCCTGGTTTTCTCCCGGTTGCTCTCACTTTAAGCTTCTAAAATGGCCAATGCTACGAGAAGCAGGGACCTGTTATCTCATTAATTCAAGAAACGTTTCCAAGAATAACCTCGGTAGTTTAGTGGGAAGAGCCACTTGGGAAGATTCAGGCTGACCGGATTCATTCCCGGTCGGTGTGTGTAATGCTATGAACAATTAACTTATAAAAGACTATTGTTACATCCACAAACAAACATCATCAGGTAAAATGTACTGACCGTAAAGTCCATAAAAGGGTGACAATGCGTTGACTAAATATTTTGTTTATCTTACGTGCTGTAGAACTGAAAGCTTAATTGCAACTAACACAAGTTTTTCATACTGAAATGTATTTTTAATTATTTAATGTGTGTATCAAACACATTCTTTTCCAAAAAGAGATAAATAATTAATAGCTGACTTACGGAATATATAATTTACAAGCCTTCTTCATTTAAGTAAAAATGTGATGAAAAATTGTCACGGTACAGTAATATCTAGTCCTTGTTCTATGTATCATAGATAATACCATGAATATTTTGGGAATTTTCGATAAACTCGCGAAACGAGGACGGAATTTATCTGAGAATTTTCAATGCATAAGTGGTAATTAATAGGACTATTCCTCGAATGAAATTACGTCCAATTGAGTTCCAAAGTGCGCCCAATATTGAAAATAACTTAGTTATGTTAAAATAAAAGGGGTCAGATTATAGTTCAAACACGGTTTATTTGACATCGACATAGATATCGAAAGACAATACCGTCTCATAAGATAGACGAGTCATAGCGTATGATTTACTACTAGGGAGAAGCGGCAAGAAAAGTCTGATAGAAGAAGCTATGAACTTTTGAGATACCCATCCTCGGTTGCATGGTTAAACCTTAATTATTTCACGAGTGGAGTGGTGTAGATGACGTGGTTGACTGTGCGCCAGATGGACGAGTCTGCGCTGGCGGGGCTGGACGCGCTGGAGGTGTTGTCGCTGCGCGACAACAACGTGCTGCTGGTGCCGGCGGGCGCGCTGGCGCCGCTGCCGCGCCTCGCGCTGCTCGACCTGGACTTCAACCGCGTGAGCGCGCTCTCGGCCGACATCCTGCGCGCGCTGGCGCCGCGCGCCGCCGCGCTCTCCCTGGCGCGCAACGTGGTGCGCGAGCTGCCCGCCGGCGCCTTCCACGAGTTCCGCCAGCTCGCCTCGCTCGACCTCTCAGGTGCGCACCCGCCCCCGCCTCCGCCTCGCCAACGGACGGCCGCGAAGTTAAAGTTTACGGGCTCCGGGGCCGAGACCACTAAGGCAGAAGTGCCCTGGCGGTCTCGGTCTGAAGGGTCTCGGGTTCGAACCCCGCCTCGTGCATGGTTCTGCCTCTGTGTGTGTGTGTGTGTGTGTGTGTGGTGTGTGTTGTGTGCGTTGCGTGCGTGCGTGCGCGTCGCGCCCGTGTATGGGAAGCAGCGAGATACTAAGGCAGTATGCACTGGCGTCTCGGTCTGAAGGGGTCTCGGGTCAAACCCCCCTCGTTGCCATGGTTTTGCATTGGTTGTGGTGTGTTGTGTGGTTGTGTGTGTGTCGTGTGCGTGTGCGTGTGCGTGTGCGTGTGCGTGTGGTGTGCGTGTGCGTGTGCGTAGTGTGTGTGTGTGTGTGTGTGTGTGTGTGTGTGTGTGTGTGTGCCGAGCGGAGTAGCCAAGATCACTAAGGCAGTAGTGCCCTGGCGATCTCGGACCGGAAGGTCACGGGCTCGAGTCCCGCCTCTGGATGGTTGTGTGTGTGTTTCAGGTTTGTGTTTGTCCATTTCCTCCTTTATCATCATCATCATCATCATCATCATTTTACCTCATCCCCTAGGACTAACAACCATGGGTGTAAAAACGGATTGAGCATGAAAATGCTGAAAATCCCCCCCCCATAATACTCACGTGCCCCTACCCTCGATAAAACGGCCAATTCGCGGGTGAAAGAGGCTGAATACTTCAATCAGTAGCAGTATTTCAACCACTCTATACCAGTTTTGAGTCGCAAGAGGGTAGATATTGATGTTGATTTCTGCACCAAATATTGGGAGATAATTGGAGAGGGAAACCTCAATGTGTAGGTCGGCGACAGATTTCACGTTCCGGCGGGTGAGGATCTCAGACTCCTCCCGGGGCACTAACTTACGAGATGACCTAAGTGGTTGACTTACAATAAATACTTACTCATTCACTCACTTGGGAGAAACGTTTTTGTTGTCAACAGACTTACCTTAATTATCTGGGAACCGAAGGACCAATCCAGATAGGTTCATACTTAATTTACTGCGGACAAAGTGTATTCGCGCAGGTTTAGAGAGTTCCCTTCTTCCCTTTCCTTTCGTCTCAGCCTTAGTCCATCACCTTTCACAGCATATTAACTTTACACCACTCATCGATCAAAACCTTTCATAATAAATAATTTCAATTAAGAAATATTAGTTTAAGGAATTACAATCCAATCCAATTCGATTCGATTCTTTCGAGGCCATAGGAACAGTGGATTCATCCATCGCCTGGGTCTACGAATAGGAGTGGGACAAGATTAGAAAGGAATGTTCGCGCACGTGTCATAGCCCAGTATTTAAGAATTTGCTCCGACAATCACTTGGAATTAACAGAAGGAAACCTCTTATTTGCATAATAACTACCAGAGCAGCCGCCCTGTAGGATTGTCATCCATCGATCAACCGAGTTAGACCACGTGAGTTTAGCTCAGAGCACGAGTTGCCGCTGTTTCTGCCGCGACGCTGAAAGGCAGATCCTAGGTTTCGAGTTTCGGCGGGGTCGATAGACTGCCTGGGGAAAAACCCTCCGCTGTCGAGAGGAGAATTCTAGTTTTTCGTGATACCAAGCGAATGCCGAAGCAGTTCCCTGCGGGCCTAATGGCTCGAGTCTTGCCACGTAAAATAAGGAATGAATTCAATTCAATTTCCTAACAAACGGGGTACAGACCGCGCGCGATCTTTCCGCCCTCTTCCTTCTCATATATTCTCCCCGTACACACCTACACGTGCATGCACTACACTTCTGCATATGCCGGGAAACAAGAAAAGCTGTGCAGATATACCGGGAGCTTAGGGCTGGTCTTTGATGGAGCGGTGTTTCCTGGAAGGGAAATGGCCCGCAAGTCGACTATAGGAAGGCACCAAATATCACTATCCTTTTGGGGGAGCAACACCGTCACATCCAGGCATACAAACGTTCATTATACTAATGGTGATAATGGAATTAGCAGTTGACGTGCTAAGAAACGACTATCAGTCGATTAATCCAACTCGGTAAGATAGAATCACTCAGTTCATTGCCAACAATATTATTTATTAAAATAGCAGCTTTTGATGGCGTAGCCATCATCATCGGATTTCCGCTGTATGGAAGCTACAAAAAAGACTAGATAGACATTTTTGTGGCTTCCATACAGCAGAAAACTAATGATGATGGCTAAGCTATCGAAAGCTGCTATTTTAATAAATAATATTGTTGGTAATGACGGCGCATATAATTATTTCATTGGAAACGCCCACAAAAACTCACCACAATACCTATATCACTCACTTCTCTAAACTTCAGTAGCGGTGTCGTAACTGCCGCTTCACAGGATTCTGAGCGTGGGCCGATAGCGGATCGAAAACGAATAGGGATCGTAGTTTCCAATCGATCGGGTAAACGATTGGCCGTTCCAACATTTGAATGCAAACAATTCCAATAGGAACTGTTCATTTATTATATTGAAGAAACATTTCATGATGAGGATTTACCTGTGAATAAGTTTCGATATTCAGTCACAAATATAATAATTATCTGTGCTTCCGTGAAGGATGGATGAATGATTGAACGAAAAAAATTTATTAAATGTTTTTATGAGTTTAAAAGCACACAATCAATTAACTTATTAATTTCTCGTCTGATCACAGCACGATACGAGAATGCCGCCCACTCACCGTTGTTGAATATCAATCATTCATCAATAATTGATTTGATTTATCGTAAACCGTTAGAGGAAAAAATTATCATTCATCACGGACTACTCTAGCTCCTTTATTAAGTAGAAAGACTACCGCAAACTACAGGATTTCATTTTCACATTACAGTCACCGCTACAGTATTGTGATGTTCAACTGTAGAAGCGTGTTTTGGGGACGTCATTTTAGTTAATTTTGAAAAAAAAAATCTTTCTCAAAATCATACAATTTTGAAACTGCCTTTATAGTCGACATGGGTGTGGTAATCTGTTCCCTTCCTTTCTCTTTTAATTGAAATCAATGACATTTTTACTTTACACGGAGACAACTCCTAAAGTTGAAGATTACCGTTCACTGACCACCTTTTTCATACTTACTGACTCCTATCTTCAAAACATTTACTCAGCATCCCTTATCACTATTGAAGATTGATTAAGAACTTTTTCGATTAATGTGAAAACAGGCGTGTGCATTTTGTGAAAATTTAATGCAACTGGTTATTAGCCAAAATGTCTAAGACTGATTATTAACCAATTTATTTATAGGCATGAAAAATATACAGCTAACATATATTACATATTACTGTTTTATAAACAAGTTTGTTCTGAAAAATATTTTCTTTGAGGAAAAAGGGTACAATGGAGTAAAGAGAAATATGTGTATTACAATGAAAGAAGAAATAACAATTAATCATTTTAAAAAAATATTATATTTCACATTTAGTTTATGTACATTCAGGTAGAAATGTAAGACAAAACATAAGTTCTAAAAGCAATTTTAACTATTAATTTCTGACACATTTCTGACATTTTTCGGATTTTCTATTCATTTTTAATATTTAAGCGGTTTACGTTATCCGTCTGGGGCAGACTAAAATGCATTACACTTTTCACACGTCAATAAAATGACAAAAAATAATTAAATAACAAAAAACAAGAGCAAGTTTGGAATAAAAACATTTCAAGAAGACACCACTGAGAAGAGAAGAGACATAATTTTAGTTTCTTCAACGAAACCATATGAATGGGAGTAAATTAATTTATTAAATTTCGATGAAATCTGACCAGAATATGTCTTATACAACAAACATCGCAAATACGATGCAACTACTGGGAAAACGACACGATCTTCCACGTTACTGGCAATTTAAAAATTGACTGGTATTGGTACGCGTGACTTGTGTGACGTTGGTGATTTCAAGGACGAATGCAATAACTGCTATTGCCCACCCTGCGAACAACGCAATGAACGCCCACTGCACTTGCTTCCAAACGAGCGGTTCGGGGGGCGGCTCCTTGGACAGTTCCATTGGGCGCCTCACGCCGAGTTCTGGGAACTCCCCCCAGGCGACGTCGTTCAGTTTCAATAAAATCCCAGCTTCCACACTCAGCTGAAGGAGAGCACTAAACCTTTCTCTGAACGGCCACCCCTTTCGAATGATTATTCCAGAGTGTAACGGAGATATAAGACATTCTTTCAACATTTTCAAACGAGAATGGCCGGAATCTGTCGCTGAAGGGAGGCCTCGATAAAATTCCAATGATTTTGATACATAGAGAAATGCTTTACGTGAATCTTCAGCTGTCTTTTTCAAGTAGGTCATTTGATCTAGAAATGAAAAAAAACTAGTTGTCTTCTTTTTGCTGAGGAGTTGAAAAATTTGTTCATCCGGAAAATGCAAATGAAAACTAGAAAAAGCAGGAGTTGAGAATATTTCGTTGACATCGTACACAACATCATCTAACGTCTCAAGACTACACCCTGGTTTCATTACGACAAGGAAACTGTATAAACAAGCTAGAAAAGAATTCACAATGATGACGCTAAATACATGTAAACACAAGAACAAAAAATACGCTCTTCCATGTGTGAATTTTAATCCTAACCCGAGAAACGTTCTTAAGACTTCTAACGCCGCTTCTGAAAGCGTAAAGCCTGAGAAGTGTGTTGCTAAAAGACATAGCACTAAAACGAAGGCAATTAATCCCCAAACAAGTGCAGAAAATGCATACAGAGGAGATACCCTCGAGAGACTTCCTGTTTTTACTAGAAAACAGAAGTTGTTCATTGAATGTGGGTATAAATACTGGATCTCTTTCTCGGTGTGTGCCATGTAATCCACACCGAAGCCGAGCATATCAAAATGGCCATCCACTAATGTCTTCAAACCACCAATGTAGGTACCGTTCGGAAATCTCAGACCAATTTGCGACGTAGGTACAGAACGACACGTCCATGAAGCTCTGAGACGGAATATTAAGGTTTTGATTATGTTTGCATCTTGTCCTCGAGCTGTCCATCCCTCGGTGCAGTTATTTACAGAATTTGGAAGGAAATACTCTGGCACGAGTAAGGAAACAGGAACGCTATTCATTTGAGGTAGGTATTGCTTAATGATTGTTGATTCTCTTGCAAATGTTCCTCTCGATGAGGTAAACAAAACTATGTTCTGAACTTCCAACAAAGCGTATCGATGTAACAGTTCACAAACAACTTTAAACTTCACTTTTGAATAAATTGTTCCACATGTTGTTTCAATACCAATGCCTCTATTCAACCCATGTGTATCGGCAGTTATGTTTCCGGTTCGTACTAGAATAACTCGTGCATCATGACGCCAGAATGCGGGAGTATCATGTAAGACCGGCAACAAAACAGAAAGGCACTTCGTTAATTCGCAGTTTCCGAGAAACAAAACTACAACACCAGGCCGTGACAGCGAAGCGTCTCGTAGTCTCTTTCGCCACTTTGGAACCCGAGCGTCCGCTATTAACAACGAACCTTTAGCGCTGGAGATATGGCGGAGGGCGTTCAGTTCAAGATTCTCGTTGGTTCCAGCCACCACTACTGCCACACCGTCGGTCTTCGAGGCAGGAAGCCAAGGCAGTAGACGTGCCGCTAGAAGCCTAGGAAGCTGTGTGTCGACAGCAGGGGGCAGAAGAGATCGTCGTGCCTGAGATTTGCTGCGCTGTGTAGTTATGAGTAGCTGGGTCATGAGTAGTAACAATTTAGGTGTTGCCATAACGTAAGAAATATATTTTTGAAAATTCAATCTGGTCACAGTTTATCCTGGTCACATTACTAACTTTTTCTGGAGAGATCATTCATAAATACAAACAGTTTTTGAAAAGGATTCCGCAATATTGCTTACGAAGAACGTACTCAAATTACTTACTACAAAAATGCAACCAGCGAATCTCTGTCAGTTAATATCATGGGTGGGATATTTTTACTGCCTATAGATTACGATGTGATAGAAACTTGACTACCTAATTTTTGATAGTCTATGAACAAAGGAAAATGTCACGTATCATTAAATTGTGCAACGTTAATATAGATTCTAGTCATTCCGGAAATCATTTTCACGACAACAATCATATTCAAATAGCTAAGTAAACTATCTAAATTGACGCAGAGTTCGGATATGATTATAAAAATACTTTTCCCATAGTAAGTAAAACGCATAAAGCTGACTTTTAAGGCACTTAAACTTTGTATTGAGCATCCGGAAATCATTTGACGACCGTCAGAAAACTGTTTGTATTCCGATAATTTAGTCACAATGCCAGTCGTCTAATGTGAGTTTATCGTGACGTATCGAAAATGAGTTGATATGAGGGAAAACGGTGTTTCGCGTGACTAAATGCTCTTTCATCAGGAAAAACGTAATAAAAATATCAAAAAGAATTATACTGACCTCTAAATTGTTTATTCAAATATTTTTAGGTCAATCTTCTTCTAGCCAAAATGAGGTTTGTAAGGTTTTAAGGGAATGTAAAATATTAATTTCACTCAACAGAAAAGTTTAATGAGTCATGTATATCTTTTGCTGTTCTGTACTAATAATTGTACTTGGTTAAAAATTACAGAAAACTAGTTTGATTTTTTGTAGTTGTCTATTTTTTCTGAACACAGCTAATAAGTTCAGGAAAATGTGTGTTATTTATTTTGAAAGAAGCATTCATTTTATTAATTTCATATTTGTATGTAAGTGTCCATAAAAGACGGAAACTGTAAAATCACGCAAAAACACTAATATCCAACTAAGGGAATGTAAACATAAGAAATTCATTCCACCATGCCTTTCGAATTTTAGTTCAAAGTCAAAAAACTATCATGCTACTTTTAACACAAATTTCAAGAGTGTGCATACCAGAAAAATAAAATGTAATACATAATAGCCATATCATGACTACTCATTTTTGTACTTAAGTACGACAAGTATTCTGACGACCCTTGCAAGAAGTCAATTATTATATGTAAGTGAACGTCGATAAAATCACCTATGAGGGTGTAGTTCGCCTAGCAGTGCAAGACACTGACAGAACTCTGTGTCCATGCTGCTCTAAGATAAAATATTTACCCTTTAAAGCCTGGCAGTACACTTCTGAACCATCATGTCATACTCTTTAACTTTGTTAATAACTAAATATGTTCTTGGAGTATGTGATTTTTTTTCTTTTCTTTTCTTTTCTTTCCTTTCCTCTAAAAACATCACTTCAGTATGCTGATGAGATACTACTAGTGTATTACTTGTTTTGGATGACATCAAACAGTTGCGTTTACAAAAATATGACATCTTGTTAGTAGTGTTGAAAGAAAAGTGCTTTTATTTCATCAATAATTATAATAATCAGTTAATATATACTAAGTTAACTTAAATATTTTATAACTGAATAAATATGATAAAATTATTAGGGTTTTGAACATTTTTAGTTAATTTATTTGGTCGGCAAATTCTCCGGTACATTCATTATTACACCACTTGGCGATTACATTACCGTTTAACCTTTTATTCAAATAAACTGTAAACTACTGAATTTGCCTGAAGTAGGTGATGATAGAGACGGGTGTGGAAGTGAGAGCGGTAAGAGTGGGGACAGTGGCGAGGGCGGAGATAGAGACGAGAGCTGAGGCGAGGACGTAGAAGGAGGGGAGGGTGGGGGCGAGTGCGTGGGCGGAGTCGGAGGCGTGGACCGGACCGGGGAGTTTTGGAGTGGATTCACAGCGGTGGCGAGGGCGCGGAGCGGTCGCAGGCGTGGCAGGGGAAGAGACAGGGCGGAGATAGGGCCGGGGCGGAGACGGAGGAGGGACGGGGCTGAGATGGAGGTGGGAAGGGGGCAGGGTGTGGGGAAAGGGGCGAAGGTGACAGCGGGAACGGAGGTGCGGATGGGGTGGAGGGACGGGCCGGACGTTACTGCGGATCGGAGGGCAGAGGCAGGGATGAAAGCGTGGCCCATCTCTCATAGTATTTACTTACTAAACACCTAAGACAATAATATTGTGTATATAAAAAATAGGACATTATCAACTTAAGGAAAATTAATATTTAATTTCTGTTGATTACGTTTTAAACCATAATTTATTATGATAAAAAAATATGCCTTAAAAGGTAGTGCCTGGTACTTCAATGGTGCCTTTAATGGTGCAATGCTGCTTCGAACTTCAATGGTACATATAAAGCAGCGTAGTTTACATGTTTCAGATATCACGTGCATTAACAAACATCACGTACATCTTTTATATATCATGTACTTACTTCTTTACGAAAAAGTTGATTCTTCATTTGGAGCTAAAATCGACCGAAAGATTAGTTGTGCAGGTTTGAGAATGTGTCAGTAACGATGGCTACTTGTGCAAAACATTTTATGAAAAGTACCGTAAACCACCCATCACCATTTGAATGTTTCCCTAACATACGACTGCGTGTGCAGGCAACCACCTGGTGTCGATCACGGCGGCGACCTTCGCCGGGCTGGACGCGACGCTGCTGGAGCTGCGGCTGGGGCAGAACCGGCTGGCAGCGCTGACGGGCGCGCCGCTGCAGCTGGCCGAGCTGCGCCTGCTCGACCTCAGCCGCAACCAGCTGGGCGAGGTGGCGCGCGCGGCCTTCTCGCAGCTGCCGCAGCTGCAGCACCTCAACCTCAGCCGCAACCCGCTGCAGCTGCTGCCCAGCACGGCGCTGCACCCGCTGCGCCAGCTCGTCTCGCTCGACCTCAGCCGCACGGGGCTGAAGCTGCTGCCGCCCGAGCTGCTGCAGCACAACCAGGAGCTGCAGGAGGTCTACCTCTCGCACAACGTGGTGCAGGTGCGGGCCGCCTTACCCGTTCCTCCTCACACTTCTCCTCTCCGCATTCGTCTCCTCTCTATTTTATCTTTATTCGCTTTACAGTTGTTTTTTCATTCTGTCCTCCTCTCTGTTCTGGTCTGATAAACTTCTTCATTCTAATTTTTCCTGATTATATTTTTTATTTACCCTTGTCTTCCTCGTCTATTCGTTTTCTATTATTTACATCATGTCCCTTTGTTTACGTTCACGTTCGTTTGTTCACGTTCCTTTTTTATTACTTTTCTCCATTTATTTCAATCACTTTTATTTCGTAAAATTAAATTATGTCTTGTCAGTGATTCCTTCTGTATCAATATTAAACTGAGCTAATAACTTAATGATTATTTATAAAATTGTACACTGCTGAGAAGCAGGCTGGCAGTTTATGTTTGCTATTCCAGAATTCTAAATTCAGACAACTCCATAATATGGGCCTCTGCAACTATCCCCAATAATCTCTAATCGATTCACGATATGAAAATGCAGATTTCTCCCCACAGTACTAAATCAAGGAGTAAGCTAGTATGCTGTAAATATTGCTGTTTATATTGTTAGTATTATTTTATTTTTAATTTTGTAAAAATTACAGCATCTTTAATTTTCTAATGGAAATATAATACAGCTTTTTCACAAGCAATAGATAGGTCATAAACAAAGTAAAGCAGTGAAATATTATTTACTATTGTTTTAAAAGCAATATTGAGTTAACTTAAAACATTCATTTTTCGAATCGCAAGCCCAGTTCTTGGTGACACAGCTGTAAACTGCGTGTTCCACAAATAAGATTGTTCTTATCAAAGTTCACATGAACAATTTGATCGTATCCATGTTTTGTTTTGAGACATTAAGAGGAATCCAGGAAAAAGCGTAGACCACTCCAGTGATGGCAATAGAAACACTAACTCCTGTATTTTAATGATTAATTATAAGTAGGTTCCTGAAACCCACAATTTATTTCATATAGCTATATGGGATGTACACAAAACATTCGCAATCGCTTCTTTGCCTGTCAGTGTTATCGAACAGCGATTGTACAGGCCGAGTGCGTCATCGCTCTCGAACCATTTCTAGTTTGCATCGTGTGAGTCATTAAAAAACGTCCTTTCACAAAGTCAGATTATCAGATAAACGGCTACAAATGAGAGAAAACAATATTTCTCAACTTACATAATACACTAATACACTTTTGAAACAACAGACCTTCGTGCAAAAATCACAACTCAGGTAGCTTCATATATAACGAGATTATAAATGTATTTCGAGGTGTCTAGAATATCCAGACATTGCTGTTGATCAAACCTTTTACCATAATATCAAAGGAACTAATAGGGATCATGACGTAGTGTATGACTTGAAGGTTTACTTACCGATAAATTTTGTCTTTTCTCATTTTTCAACTTCTATCATTATTGTATGTTCCCACCTGAAATGTAACTCAGATCAAACTTTTATTTGACAAACCGTGATCGAACGATTATAGAATTACTTCATTTTCCCCTATAAAAGTGCATGTTAACTTGCAAAGGCAACATTGTACTGCGATGCTACAACTGAGGAACTAGGTTAAGAAGCGTGATTGCCCTTTAAATTCTCGGCTATCCGGGGAACGCCGCTGACATGTCGCAGGCTTCCTCAGGGCAGTGACGTCACAGCCAACAACGCAGCGTCTCCCGGATAGCCGAGAATTTATGGATTAGAACCGCGGAAGCTTACGTGTACATGACTGCCCTTTGCCCAAGCATGGAGAATACACGTAACCCAGGAGAGTTGTAGAGGGTTGCTTTTGAAGAAGGATTGTGACGCGTCTTGCGCAGGAGATCCCGGAAGGCGCGTTCGGCGACCTGCAGAACCTGACGGTGATCGACCTGTCGCACAACCACATCGCCAACATCCGCCCGGGCGCGTTCACGGGGCTGGCCAGCATCCGGCGCGTGTCGCTGCGCGGCAACCGCCTCAGCGCCTTCAAGGGCGAGCTGTTCCGCGCGGCGCCGGGCGGCGCCACCTCGCTCGAGGAGCTCGACCTGTCGGACAACGAGCTGAGCTACCTGTTCCCGTCGTCGTTCCGCACGCACCCGCAGCTGCGCCGCCTGCACGTCGCCAACAACCGCTTCTCCTTCTTCCCGGCCGAGCTGATCGTGGGCCTGCGCGCGCTCGAGGAGCTCGACCTGAGCGGCAACGCGCTCAAGAGCGTCGAGGAGCTCGACTTCGCGCGCCTGCCCAAGCTGCGCGTGTTGCGGCTGGCGCGCAACAGCATCGAGGCCGTCAGCGAGTCCGCCTTCCACAACTCCTCGCAGCTGCAGGTGAGCGCCCCCCTCCCCCCGCCATCTATGGGCTCAAAGGCAGGCAACATGCAAACGACTGTCAACCAATCCGTTGAGAGTTGAGATTTAGATTTATTCAGTCTGAAGTAGTATCTGTATCTGACGTAGGGGGGAAAAGATTATCTGCGCAAGTTTTCTTGAGTTCCAGAATCCCTGCCCGTCATTTCAACTATAAATAGTTGAAAGATGAGTAAAAGTTTAACATGAATAAGTAAAAATAAATTTTAAATATCCCAAGATTAGCAATATTTGAAAAATAGTCATTTTTGTTTCTGAGTTGTAGAAATCTTATTGGTTTTCAACTAGATCTCTAAAAGATCCATTAACTCTGTAATAATTATCACAATACTATGAAATGTTCTATATGTTGTTACTCTACCATTTTAGTTAGATGTATATGTTCAAACATATCATCCATGCAACAGATTTTTCAACATTGTAACCAATCTTCTGGCACACACGCAATTATTTAAGGAATTGTCTTTAGACGAATTTCTACATAAACGATGTAATATTACGAACGATCGATGTTTCACATTAGTCATTGGTTACTTTGGACAGGTAGGGCAAACAGAGAAAATAAAACTGTTATTAACAGCAATCTATACCTATTAAACTCCCTCAACATTTCATTAATTCCAGATGATGCATGTTTTTGTAAGGGATCCAAAGCAGTTTCCCCTTCGCAACGTCGAAATAATTTGCAAAAGAGACACGAAAACATTAAAAGAACATGAGTCGTTATTACGTTACAAAAAAATAGAATTTCGTGATCTTAGCGCTGTGTGAAATCGTACGCAATACCAAATTTGAATTTTCTCTTCGGACAAGCGGCTCGGCAAGTCGAACCCGCTGCCCAAGCGCATGGCATGTCGTCCCTTTGCTGAGCGTTGTGCGCGTGCGCATGCGCAGGTGCTGGACCTGAGCGACAACCGGCTGGAGCGCGTGGGCGAGCGCACCTTCGAGGGCCTGGTGCGCCTCGAGCTGCTCGACCTGAGCGCCAACCACCTGGCGGAGCTGCCCGACGCGCTGTTCGAGCGCTCGCGCCTGCAGATGCTCGAGAACATCAACCTCGCCCGGAACAAGTTCGAGGTGGGTCCCTCCCCCTTACTCTCTCTCTCTATCTGTCTCTATCTGTCTCTATCTGTCTCTATCTGTCTCTCTCTCTCTGTCTCGAGAGAGAGGAGAAGAGAAGAGACAACGAGAGAAGACAGGAACACAGCAGAGGAGAGAAACAAGAGAACCAGCAGACAGAAGACACAAGAGAGAGACAGACAGAGACACAGGACATAAGGACAGGAACAAGAGAGAGACCAGAGAAGACAGGAGAGAGACAGAAGAGAGAGACAGAGAGAGCAGAGAGAGACGGAGAGAACAGGAGAGAGACAGAGAGCAGAGAGGCCAGAGAGAAAAGGAGAGACAGAGAGAAGACGGAGAAGAGAGACAGAGAGGAGAGACAGAGAGAGACAGAGTGAGAAGAGACAATAGAACAGACTAGAACAATAGAGACAGATAGAGAAGAGAGAGTAAGGGAGGGACCCACCTCGGAACTGTTCCGGCGAGTTATGTCTCGAGCATCTGCAGTGCGCGAGCGCTCGAACAGCGACGTCGGGCAGCTCCGCCAGTGTGTTGGCGCTCAGTCGAGCAGCTCGAGGCGCACAGGCTCGAGGTGCGCTCGCCACGCGCTCAGCCGGTTTGTCGCTCAGTCCACACCTGCGCTGCGCACCCGCCACAACGCTCAGCAAAGGACGACATTGCCATGCCTTGGCAGCGGGTTCGACTTGCCGAGCGCTTGTCCGAAGAGAAATTTCAAATTTGCGTATGCGTACGAAATTCACCACAGCGCTAAGATCCGAAATTCTATTTTTTTGCAACGTTAACGACTCATGTTCTTTTAATGTTTTCGTTGTCTTCTTTTTGCAAATTATTTCGACGTTGCGAATGAAACTGTTGACCCCTTAACAAAAAACAGCTCATCTCGGAATTAATGAATGTTGAGGAGTTTAATTAGATATAGATTGCTGTTAACTACAGTTTTTTCTCTGTTCATGCACCTACACTGTCCCCAAGTAAGCCAATGACTTATGTGAAAACATCGATCGTTCGTAATATTACTCGTTTATGTAGAAATTCGTCTAAGACAATTCCTTGAAATATTGCGTGTGTGCCAGAAATGTTACAATGCTGAAAAAATCTGTTGCATGATAATATGTATGAAACTATACACTCTAACCTAATGCTTAGATGAACAACATATAGACATTTTATAGTATTTGATAAATATTACAGAGTTAATGGATTTTTAGAGATTAGTTGAAAATCAATAAGATTTATACACTCAGAACAAAATGACTATTTTTTTCATAATATTGCTAACTTGGGATATTTAAAATTTATTTTACTTATTCTTTAAAATCTTTTACTCATCTTGCAATAATTTATAGTTGAAATGACGCCAGATTCTGGAACTCAAGAACTTGCGCAGATATCTTTTCCCCCTACGTCATTACAGATACTACTCAGATGAATATAATCTATCTCAAACATCTCAACGGAATTGTTGACAGTCGTATGCATGTGCCTGCCTTTCGGCCATAATGGCTGATCCGGAGGGAAGGGGGGCGTCCACACTGCAGCTGCGAGGAGTTGTGGAAGGCGGACTCGCGACGGCCTCGATGCTGTGCGCGCCAGCCGCACCACCGCGCAGTTTGGGGCTAGGCGCGCGAAGTCGAGCTCCTCGACCTCTGAGCGGTTGCCGCTCAGGCGTCGAGCTCCTCGAGCGCGCGCAGGCCACGCACAGCTCGCGGGAAGAAGGAGAAGCGTTTGTGCGAACGTGCAGCGGCGCAGACCTGCGCCGTGCGTGCGGACGAACGGGAACAGGTAAGCTCAGCTCGGTGTCCGACAGGTCGAGTCCTCAGCACGAGTGGCGCGCCGGCGCCGCGCGGAACAGCTCGCCCGCTGTGAAGCACTGAGCGGTTGCGGGCAGCGACACGCCCGCGAATGCTGGCCAGCCCCGTGAAACGCGCCCGGGCGGATGTTGCGATGTGTTGTTGCCGACAGCCGTCGATCACCGTCAGTTTTGCAGGTCGCCGCCGAACCGCGCCTTCCGGGATCTCCTGCGCAACAAAGACGCGTCACAATCCCTCTTCAAAGAGCAACCCTCTATCAACTTCTCTGGTACGTGTATTCCCCATGCTTGGAAAAAGGCAGCATGTACAGATAAAGCTTCCGCGGTTCTATCATAATTCTCGGCTACTCCGGAGAACGCCTGACGTTGTTGGCTTGACTCACTGCCCTGATAAAGCCTGCGACATGTCCAGCGGCCCGTCCCCCGGCATAGCCGAGAATTTAAAAGGCAATCACGCTTTTACTATTTCCCAAAAAACAATTTGTAGCATCGCAGTTACAATTGTTGCCTTTGCAAGTTAAACATGCACTTTTATAGGGGAAAATAGAAGTAATTACTAATCAATCGTTTCGATCACGGCTTTGCTCCAAATAAAGTTTTGAATCGAGTTACATTTCAGGTTGGGAACATCAGATAAATGATTAGAAAGTGAAAAATGAGAAAAGACAAAATTTAATCGGTAAATAAACCTCATCATACACTTACGTCATGATCCTATTTTGTTCCTTGCTTTATGGGATTTAAAGGTTGACAATCAACAGCAATGTCTGGATATTCAGACAAACCTCGAAAATTACATTTATAATCTCGTATATATATGAAGCTACCTGAGATTGTGATTTTATGACCACGAACGTCTGTTTGTTTCAAAGAAATGTATTAGTGTATTTATGTAAGTTGAGAAATATTGTTTTCTCTCATTTTGTAGCCGTTTATCTGAAATCTGACTTGTGTGAACAGGACGTTTTTTAAATGCTCACAACATGCAAACTAGAAATGTTGCAGCGCCGATGACGCACTCGGCCTGTACTAATCGCTGTTCGATAACACTAAGGCAAAGAGCGATTGCGAACTGTTTTGTGTACATCCATTATAGCTATATGAAATAAATTGGGTATTCAGGAACCTACTTATAATTAATCATTAAAATACAGGATTAGTGTTTCTATTTTCCATCACTGGATGGTCTACGCTTTTTCTAGGATTCCTTTTAATTCTCAAAACAAACATGGATACGATCAAATATTCATGTGAATTTATAAGAACAATTCTCTTATTTGTGGAACACGCAGTTTAACGTGTCCACCAAGATACTGGCTTGCATTCGAAATGATCATGTTTTAAGTTAACTCAATTTGCTTTTAACAATAGTATAATATTTCACTGCTTTACTTTGTTTATGACCCCTATTATTTGCTTGATGAAAAAGCCGTTATTAATATTTCCATTAGAAATTAAGATGACTGTAATTTTTACAATAAAAACATAACAAATAATACTAACAATATGAAAACAGCATGATTTACGAATACTAGCTAACTCCTTGATTCAACTGTGGGAGAAATCTTCATTTTCATATCGTGAACGGATTAGAATAATTGGATAGTTGCAAGAGGCCCATATTATGGAGCTTGTCTGAATTTTAAATTCCTGGAAATAGACAAACTAAACTGCCAGCGGCTTGCTCAGCACGTGCTCAATTTTATAAATAATCATTAAGTATTGTAGCTCGTTTAATATTGAATACAAATGAATCATGACAGACATAATTTATTTTTACGAAATAAAATGACTTGAAATAAATGGAAGAAGTAATAAAGAACTGAAACAAAACGAACGTGAACGTAAACAAAGGACATGATGTAAATAATAGAAAACGATAGACGAGCAAGACCAAGGATAAATAAAAAATTTAATTCAGGAAAAATTGCAATGAAAAGTTTAATCAGACCAGAACAAGAGGAGAACAGAATGAAAAACAACTGTTAAAGCGAAAAAGATAAAATAAGGGAGACGCATGCGGAGAGGAGAAGTGTTGAGAGAACGGGTAGGGCCCGCACCTGCACCCGTTGTGGAGAGGTAGACTCCTGCAGCTCCTGGTGTGCTGCACAGCTCAGGCGCAGCAGCTATCAGCCCCCGTTGCGGCTGAGGTCGAGCGAGAGAGCTGGCGCAGCGAGGTCTGCAGCGCCGTGCTGGGCAAGCAGCTGCAGCAGGTGCGGCTGAGGTTAGGTGTGCAGTGCGGCAGAATGGAGAAGCCGCGCGCGCCACCTCGCCAGCTCGAGGTTGCGGCTGAGGTCGGCAGGCGCGCTCGCCAGCTGCAGCCGAGCGCCCCCGTCAGCGCTGACAGCGTCGCCCCATCCGCAGCTCAGCGAGCGTCGCGATCCAGCCCGGCGAAGGTCGCCGCCGTGATCACACCAGGTTGCTGCACAAGCAGTCGTATGTAGAGGAAACATTCAAATGTAGGTGTTACAGTTATTTTCATACAAATGTTTTGCACAAAGTAGGCATCAGTTAGACACATCTCAAACCTGCACAACTATCTTTCGGTCGATTTTAGCTCCAAAACTGACAGAATCAACTGTTTCGTAAAAAGTAAGTACTGATATATAAACGAGTACGTGATGTTGTTAAAGCACGTGATATCTGAAACATGTAAACTACGCTGCTTTATAATGTAACCATTGAATTCAGCAGCATTGCACATTAAAGGCACATTGAAGTACCAGCATACCTTTAGGCTATTTTTTATCATAAATTATGGTTTAAAACGTAATCAACAGCAAATTAAATATTAATTTTCCTTAGTGATAATGTCTATTTTTTATTACACAATATATTTCTAGGTTTTAGTAAGTAAATCTATGAGAGATGGCCACGCTTCATCCCTGCTCTGCCTCCGTCCGCAGTAACGTCGCCTTCTCCACCATCCGACCTCGTTCCCGCTGTTCACCTTCGCCCTTTCCCACCACCCTGCCCTTCCACCTCCATCTCAGCCCCGTCCCTCCTTCCGTCTCCGCCCGGCCTATCTCCGCTCCTGTCCTTCCCCTGCCACGCCTTGCGACCGCTTCGCGCCCATCCGCACCGCTGTTGAATCCACTCCAAACTCCCCGGTCCGGTCCACGCCTCAGACTCGACCCACGCACTCGCCCCCCCTCCCCCTTCTACGTTCCTCGCTCAGCTCTCG